GTAAGTTAGAGGTATATCACTGGTTGATTTCTCCCCAGGGAAAATAAAGTTACAGCCAGTTGTCGGTTTGGTCAATTTTTGCCGGCGAGACCTCCCATTTTGCTGGCCTGAAATTCGAAAACTCTGAAATAGCGGTGGAAGCGGAACACAGCATTTTGTAGAGCAGACAATTCTCTTTCGAATGATATATAAAACGATGTAAAAGTTTCATGATTTAGATGAAAATTTTTTGGTTGAAAAAAAACGACATCACTTATGAGACAACCTAATAGTATGATGCAGATCGACCTACCTCTTGTGAGGAGACTGGAAAGCATACTTTTAAGTCCAGTTGCAAAACATAACTATTAGGTTGCATGAACATCCGAGACAATCCTGGTATACATTCCGAAATAGTAACGCCTTGCTCGACTAATCTCTTCTAAAACAACATACTGATGACAAAATCAAGAAATCATCAAATAAGAGAGGAAACTTCTATCGAAATTTCATTCCTCAAGAACAAAATATTGAGAACCTACCACGGGAACCTCGAAAGAGTCTTTCTTATTGTGGACACTACTTTCAAACACTCCTCCATCTTTTTGAGGTTCTCCAACACAAGACACTCCATATGGCTTCGGAATGATAAGAAATCTCCCTAAAGGAAGAATTGAGATAATTAAAGGTACAAAATCACCTCTTCCGGATATGAAATAAGTAAGAGCTACGTGAAAAAGCTGAACAATACACGTCCAACAAACCTCGAGCCCGAAGTTATACGATGACCGAGCACAGTACGTTGCTTTTATCAGAATGCATTGCAATTCTCGACTTCGAGCCTTATCTTTTTAATGTTTTGCCTCAAAGCCCTCGACAAATCTTTGCTGTTGAACACTGCCTCTGTTTTCGCTTCCACCTAGTGGAGATTGACCACGTCGCATCACCACCATTATTGGCGCCGCAATTTCAGACAGGACACGTTCAATAAGCAAGCAAGTGATAGGCCATTACCTCCTTCCAAGTAAGATTTTGAAACCCTTCACCAGGCTCATGCAAATATGAAGTTAGGTTTCTTCAATTAATTTGTTGAGCTGGTCAGTACGAGAATTTTTCGCTGTGTGAGTGGTGCGAAACCAACAGTTGCGAGATGCGCTGGTTAGGTCCAGACGAAGTTCTGAAACATGGCGAATTATAAACGCTCAAAAGCGCACCAGTAAAGGTCTGCAGTGTTGCACATTAAAGGCCAGGAATGAAGTTTTTGCTATAAGCTCTTCACTGAATGAAATATTAGAATGAGCTGTAACTGTCGCAAAGGCCAAGAAATTGCAGTTGCAAGCGCAAAATGAGTTCTTTATGCATTTTCAGTAGCTAACTGTACTTCGGATATGCGAATCCTGGACAAGAGTTCTGCCACCGACGAATCGAACTGTCTGTAGCAGCAGATAAATTAATGTGCAGCGATCAAACGATGTACAGCGACCGCATTATTGAATGTGGGCGGAAACCTAACATTTGAAGGAAGTCATCATTACGAACACATTGCTTAAATGTGCGGGGCTTCCTTCAGTCACTGGGTCCCACCACTTTCAAACAGTGTTGAGTCGCTGGAACATTGTTCGACCCGCTGGTACACAGCTCGATTCGCTGGATTCGCAAACTCTGACATCGGCCTAATGGAAAACACTTGGCGACAGAACTGCTTCACCCTCGTCCGAGCAATATAGTTATTATGTACATAGGGGCAAAAAGCACAGATGCTCGGTCAAGCAAGGGAGCTGCTACCTAAAGGCAAGAGATACCTATTCAAAAGTGCTTACTCCTTTCCAATGTGACATCGACGTGACAATTGAATTGCTAGACTTGCTCTCATATCACCCCTGCAACCTTTGCGTTTGCGAACATATTGAATTTCGGAAGATGTGAAAAGTTTTAAATAGCGGATGGACAAACAACTTTTAAAATCAAACAATTGTTTTGATATTTATATTCATTGACGTTTTGTACAGATAAATGTGAACAAAGTTCGCTTCAACAACACATAACAAATAAATCTATTACTTCAAGAGAAATGACTTTTGTACTGTATTGAACACGTTCATGGTTTTTTCTTCGCAATTGCGCCGACGAATGACTTGCTCCTGCAGAAGACTTCGCTGCTCCCGGAGCGGTTTTCGTAGCTCCCGGTGCATGTTTCGCTGCTCCTGATGCATGCTTTGACGAGTGCTTGGCAGCATTCAAGCTATCCATATATTTTCGTTGATCCTCGGCTTCAAATAAATTAATGCTCAAAGGAACAATACATCTTGCGTCATAAGTAATGGATGATTTTCAACTTCTAATGGATGCAAGAAGTTTGAGTCTTTTGAGCACAACATTACTAGTTTGAGGTTTGTATTGGTCCAACGTGAATGGATGGAACACGCGAAAACGGATAGTTTGTAGACACCCTACTAAAACAGGCCGAATCAAAGAACGTGAAGGTTAAAAGCTCACCAATTTTTTCATAACGACAACACCGGGGGTAATCCACTGTAAGCAATCGAGGATGAAGTAGCGTGGCTAAAACCGGAGCATAACAGTTGAAATATGCCTTGATAAACTATGCCACATTGGCGCAGGAACTAACCGACTTCATTGATTCCGAAATTAAGAATCAATTGTTCATAGCTAGATGGATTTTGGAAATCCTTTCGTTCCTGCACCGAAATATTCACATCTATCCCAGCAGCTTTCCGTTCAAAGTGTTTATAGAAGATTTGCTGAAGGTAATGCAGTGTTATGAACAAGTGAGAACAAAGTAGGCAAGGAAAGAAAAGACGAAGATGTCCTCAACTCACCACTAATTCAGGATCACACTCCGCTGTCGGTGCTGGAGGTATAGCGACGTCTTGGTGAGGGGGAGTATCCATCGGCTAAACACTGTGCTTTCAAGCAGTCAAAATTAACAACAAAATAGAATTTTTACCTTGGCATCACCGTCGAGATCAATACCATGTAACGGACTATCATAAGGGCGTGGTGTCCATCCACCAGATCCCGTTGATGCTCCGTCCTCGACCTCAAAAAAGCCTTATTCGATTAACACTAACCACTGGATAAGGTGGTGGAACTGTTCTCAAATACATTCTATAATGAGAACATCGCCATGTCTACTAAATATACCGTAATTACTTGTTTCAGAGCATTTCGCCCCTCTTCAAGAGCCATATCAATAAGACGTTCATTTTCATCGTCGGTATCACTTTTCTGAAAATGTTTTGTGGAATTATTGTTCATAGAATAGGCAAACTAGACAACAAATAATGCAATGGACAAAGCAGAAAAAGCAGAAGGCAATTGCAAAAACTCGTCAACAAGGAGGGCAAATTCGATCGAAAAGAGGCAGTGCAATATACTAATTCGGAGAGGACTCTCAGTTAGCGGTTTGAGAAAACTACGAGCGAGATATAGATACTACCTGACTAACTCGTTCCGGGGGGCGGGGTTCAACCATTCCTGAAGGGGGTGAGGAAGGGCTCTGAGCAACTTCCGCATGCGTTCAGCGTGGAATGATTACGAAATAACGTTTGAAAACTCAGTACCATAATAACATTACCTCGTTCAAAAGCATCTTCTCTTTCTTCTTCTCCACCTGCGTATGAAACTAGCGATACAGCGGAGGAGACCTTAACACCCTACGTGAATAAGCATAGCTCGTACAATTTTCAATAAGCTACGTGCAAGAGGAAGTCACGATTGTTGGCTAATAATGAGTCGTTCGTTTATCACTTGTACCATCACTAAAGTAAGTACGACTAAGTACTAACCAGGAAAGGCATTCAACTTCCCATAGAACTTTGAATTGAAACCCACATAATGGATTGAGTTTAAACGTTGATGCAAACACCAGAGCTAAAACTGCAAAATGAACCTGGCCGAGGAAGTTGTGAGCAGTCAAAGCTTGGCTCCGAGTTAAGCGTACGTATTAACCGCTAGCCCCGAGCTTCCAGAGTCGCCGTGGAGTAGTGGGAAGTGCTCTCAAAATTTGCATTGCAACAATAAGAGAACCCCTGCTCTCCCGGGTGGAGAGCAGGGGCACTATCGGCCATAGCACGGTTCATGTGTGATGCTTTACTTCAGCCAACTTTGACTGCTCACAACTTCTTTGGCAGGTTCATTTTGCAGTTTTAGCTTCCATATTTGTAATCAGCGTTTGAAGCTCTGTCGATATATCTGGTCTCATTCGAAGTTCCATGGGAAGTTGAATGCCTTCCCTGGTAGTACTAGCGAGTGTAAAAGGCATTCACTTCAAGAAGACCCATTTCTGACGAAGTGAGGTGCTTGAAAATCGCTCATAGATGAAGGGGCAGTACAATGTTTAACTTTTTGTGCAAAATCACCTATAAGGAATTCCGTTCTCGTTTTCGAAACGTATATTCTCGCTTATACACGTGGTTCTCAAAACTTAGTGCTTTCTCTGCAGCCCCAAAAACATACTAAGACTCTTCAAAAGTAAAAAATGAAAGTTATATTAAACCCACGAATAAAAGCACTTTAGAACCATAGCGAAACTTTTAAACATTTGCAGATATGAAAACAACTAGGCGTTACGTGTAGAAACTCTGGCGAAGAAACAAGAGGAAAAACGCAACATACTTGATGCATTTTTGAAGAGCGGAGGGTAAGGGAATGGGAGGTGAGTTTGTATCTTTCCGTTGAGGGTGGGATCTCGGAATTTTCTGTTACTGTTCGGCTTACGACATAGTGTCGGCTGAATGAAGCGTTATCGACGGTGGGTTTCATCAAACATAGTTGGGCGGTCTAAAATGAAACTAGGGGTTAGAACATGTGTCGTAGAAACTGATTCAAAAATAGTTATCAATTTCCTTTTTGAATTTTCAATCAAACCGGCGAATAAAACTCAGGAAAAGTGCAAGACGAAAAAAAATTTAGGGACAAGATTATGCAGTGCAGTACTCTAGCCTACAAAAGAGTCAACATAAAAGACAGCTCAAGGCGGAAGACTCACGCCGTTGAAGTTGGTGGAAGCTATTCAATAGCTATTTTAACGGTGGAATGGGGCTTCAGAGATCACTCGTACGCTTGTGCAATTTTCGAAGAAGATGGTTCTATTCGGTCTCTGAGTCGTAACAAAAGAAATTTTAAAAACGAATTGTTCAAGAAAATGCATTGATATATATGAGGATTAGGCTAGCGGAGGATAAAGAGTAGCCTGGTTCGACAGCATAGCAGAACTGGTAGGCTGATGTCAGAGTCGCGATCCTTTGCGGATTGGGAGGAATCACCCGTGAGGGTGGAAATTACCAAGTGCCCCATCCATACTGCAAGGTGTTCTCCAATCCCGCCGTCACTTCTGCTTGATGGTTATGGTTTAATGGAGACTGCTCATGATTCCACTTGTTTCATATCCAGTGTTTCAATTGTTCAAATGGGGCACTTGCAATTTTTGTGATTGGTTTGGTTTGATTCCTGAAAAAAAATAGGAACGATTCAAGAGCATTTCAATGAACTAATAGACATTGAACATGAAACAAGTAGAACCACAAACATTCGTCTTCCAATCTTTACTGCCAAGCAGAATTCGCAGCAGGATTAAACAACACCTCGCAGTATTCATCGGGCACTTCCAACTCCTGTGATCCATCGCAGGTTTCGCGAAAATCGCAAAAATCGCGAAAACGGCAAAAAACCGCGCAAATCGCGAAAATCGCGAAGAGTGAATCGCGCCCACGGGGACTTGACACCAGCCATAGACTCTTACGACTTCTGAGACTAAGAACTACACATGCTTGCCAAGCGTATCTCAAACAAGGAGTTGTTTTTAAATAAGGCTTACATGATTTCATAAGAAGCAAAATTTTGAACTGGAGGTATTGAGGTATCTTTGAACAAGAAGGAAATGAAGGAAAGCGTATAAAAGAAATGAGAAAAAAATAGATGAATATAAAGACGAAGAGAATACAAAAAAGGATTTAGGTACAAAAAAAAAAAATTCGTAAAAGCACTAAAAGAGCCAAAAAGTGGCCAGTTAATGCGCAAAACAGTCAAAAAGAGTGCGTAATGGGTGGAAAGTGCATTGAAGTGGAAAACATTAAAAAATTGACGAAATGAAGAGACACAAGGCAACTAAAACATCTGTTGAGGAGCAGTAAGCTGTTACTCACTGATAGATAGTAGTTAAAAGCTAACAATTTACTGCCTTGATGGCACGGCGTTTTATAGAGATAAAAGCTCATTTCGGTTTTTCTAACAAGCATCCAGAAGGAGAAAAAAAAATTTGAAAAATCGAAAATAACACAATCTCGAACCGTGACGACATGCATCGGAATCTATTCTTGGGGGAGGAAGGAGATGATCAGGATCGGTGTTCTGGACTTTCGGCGATTCTTCAACGTTCGCTTGTGAAATCGTGGTGGGAGGCACTTCACCTAAGCCATTACCTCAAGAAATAACTGATACAGCACTCCACTCGAGCAAAAAGAAGCACATCAAGACACAAGCAAAATTCTTGCTACACTTACTTCGTTCCATATTGAAGGATCGTCGCCTCGGGGATTCCTCGTCGCTTTCATCCATGAGCGTGCCAAATGTGTTCTCTTCAAGAAAACATTAATGGAAATCAGTCTTAATTTGGGAAATCACACGTGGAAATTTGCGACAGTAAAAGAAGGCCACAACTGCAAGAGGAACAAAGCAGTGGCTTATACAGGTTCAGAACAAATAGCGGTTATCGGGACCAGAGATATATTCACTTTGGTAGGGCATTAATTGAAACCGAAATGGAGAGGCGACAAAACGCCATTCAGTCGGCTGTAATGAATGCAAAGTAAGGTTGAATGGTGGTTTGTTAGTGACGTATAACAGACGAGATGGGCTAGAGCAAATAATGAATGACGAAGAAAAGAGAAAATAGCTGAATTAATCATAAACTTGAACGTAAAACGAAACTAGCGTGAACTTGATAAGGTCGTGTGTGCCTACATCCAACGCAATGAACAGTACGGCGTTCACTCCACATTTCCGCCTATTAACATTGGTTACAAGGCTTCTGTCAACTAGCGAAATCATGCACTGCAGGGAATGACCCTGGGACAGGCGACAGTGGCGGACGACTGGTAGACAGCGGACCTGCGCACCGGACGCCCGGGACAACGCGTAGGAGGAGGAAGAAGACAACCAGTTTCTGTCAACCAAGCGGGTGAGGCTGGCTTGGAAAAGCCTCGTTTATGTCTTATTGGAACTAAGCTTCTGAGAATGGTAAAGGACATAGTGAATGAGTGACTCGATTAGTGCGCACTGGCTTAGAGCTCCTGACAGGGTCAACCGTTACGTTGGACCGATATTGGAGCGACGTTGGACCGATGTTGACCGCTCTCCGCGCCGGCATTCACTCTCGCCACCCGCGAGCCGTCTGTGTCTCCGTGCGTACGTTCACTCTCGGCATTACTCTCGTCGTCGCGTTGGACTTTGTCCAACGGACGGTTGACCCTGCTCCAGACTCAACTACAAAATCGCTGAATGCCAAGATTCATGGTGTCCGGGAGGCACTAACGATGGTTGGCCATCGAATCAGCCGCTTTGGTACCGCGAGTGGTCAGTGTACTGCTCGTGCTTCGCGCGAAAATGCACATTTTGAACGGCATCTTTGGTTTCTATCTGCGTTTGAGGGGGGCCACGCAGCGATGGCGGACGCTCTCATTCGTCCTCTGCAGGGTTACTCTCCGATGGCGCGCGTATTTTGAAACTTTTCGATGAATTCGGAGAAGCAGTTAACGTGCCTGACTAGCCGTTGATGAGGAAAAGATACGAACAGGCCGCGTAGGCCCGCCCCTCACGAACGAATGTAAGATGCCCGCATCTGGACTTCGTAAAAGGATATATGATACAGAAAAGTGGATTTTTTCTGGCCGTCGTCACTTGTGGTGTGTTGCCTGCACTCGACGCTCTTCTCGTCGTCCGAAATAGAGGACACGTACGATCATTCGGTTTTCCGACACGTCCGACGATCGATATGTATATAACGCTGTGCGATTGTTGCGATTTTACAATCGGACGACCGACTATGAATGCGCCCTATGGCGAATCAGCGTCTGCCGCTTCATTCCTACTCCTCGAACCTCGAAAGATGATAATCGGGTCGGCACGTCAAGATGGCAAAGTATTTTTCACTTGAAGACTCTCGTTCGTTGATTAGTTGAACAAGTAAGTTTTGGAGACATCCGCATAGTTGTTTCGTCCTTTCGCGCAGCTCTAGGCTAAGGATTAACCACCACAAAAAAACAAAAAAAGAGAAGAAACCACACAACAATCGCGAACTAGGCGCATCGGCGGAAGCCGTTAAACGTCACGACAAAGAGAACTTTTGTGGGGCTTCCTCCGCCAGCTTACTGACCTGTTTGCGGATAACGACTACTAAGGTCCTAACGCCTTTTTGTAGCCATCAAGAGAGGAGTTGAGAGCGCTGAGTTTACCAGGTTCACAAAACACTAAGGA